TAGCTTTTCTCAAAATGCATAACTGGCCTTATTGGAGAAAATTTTTTTGCAAATTTTTCTAATTGGCAGTGATAAAACTGTGATGATGAATACAGAAAACAAATTTGCAAGAAATCATGTAAATTAGCTAATAATTTTCTTGCAATTTTTTAAGTGCTCAGGTTTACAGATAGCTGTGGAAAATTAGCTATTGGCCTACAATTACTTAAATAAAATATTTTTGAAATGTTATAATTTTATAATATGTCATCATCTTCCTTAGAACATAGAAAAATGAGAAATGCCAGCCTCATATCCTTAATATGTTTATAGTGTGGTGAGGAACAGAAAAATATTACTGTAACATAATAAATATAATACCATAGCAATCTACCACCTCATAAGACCATAAAAGTGAACATTTCCTCAAGTTTGTAGTAGTAAATACACTAGGGGATAATATTCTAGGCAGAGGAAATAGCCTGACTTTATAGTATTAAGGTAGTTGTTCAGTTAAGATGACTGACATAATATTTCAAGAAGGGCTCACAAAAACTATAAACATATATTAAGGGAAAACCTACACCACTCCACTTACAGTGTGTGTCTGTGAGGGTGGAAGGACAACTTGATTGGCTTTGGGGTCAGCGGGGGCCTTCATGGAGCACACTGCAGTTGTGTCTGAGTGGGTCATGGAGACATAGCTTGGGAACTGTGCCTCAGCCCTGATGCCTTCCCTTCTCTCTGGTGCTGTTCCTGTTCTCTGCTTCCAAGCTGCCATAAACTAGCATGTTTGCACTGCCAACACTGATGTTTCAGTCTTTGAGCCAACTGACCATGCATTTCATCTCCCAAATCTATGACCCAAACGAAACCCCTTCTCTTTTAAGTTGTGAGTGTCAGACACAGCAATGGGCAAGCGGACTGATACAGAAAATGTGACACAGGATCTGGGTCACTGCTGGGACTGTGCCTGACGATGTGGTTTAGAAGCCATTGGAGCTGACTTGCGGGGAAGTTTGGAAAGGTCTGCTGTGCTGAAGGCAGCGCCTGAAGTGTGGTATTGGTGGGAGCTGAGATGACCAGAATGTGGACAATAAAGGCCAAGCACAGCAGGTTAAAGTTCCGAACAAGGAATTATTCACTGATAGACTACATGTCATATGTGTTATGCCCTGGCATAAAATTTGTCTATATTTTTCACAACACTGAGACTTTGAGGAAGAGCAAGATTAAAGGAAGTAGAGTGACTGATCTGCTGGAATAAATTCCAAGCCCACACAACATTCCACAACATTTAGGCTGTTGACTAGGTACTGTTAGATGCTTTTAGGCAGATAGATGGTGAGAATTGGGGTAAAAAAATACAACATACAATTTGTAAAAACTTAGATTTTTGGCTTAGAAGTAAAAGTTATATAAAGTTGAGGTCAGGGGAGCTGTGGCTGCTGAACAGATTAGTGCCATTAAAAAGAAACCAAGTACTTTTTCACAGGGATAAGAATGATGCTTTGAGTATATCTCACAAACCAGCACGATGACCTCCATTACAGGCTTAAGGCTGCAATAGTTTAAACTTCTTAGTTTAGAAGAGTCCCTAAGGACCCTGCCCAAAAGGGCCTCCTAGGGCATTGACTCACCAGGACTCACTTCACTCTTCATAGTCTTACAGACTTTCAGAGGCCACTACAGCGATGGCCCAGCATGACATCTCCATGAGATGCTGGTTTCACAGGCATGCAGAATGAGAGAGTGTGGGGTCAGGAAAGCTTCTACTCAGACATCAAAGGAAAGACTGGGAGATCAGGCAAGGAGGCTTTGAGAAGGCAGAGTGTGGAGTTGTAGAAATGAAGCCAAAGATGCTCAGAGATCTCATGAAGTCAGATATCAGGAATAGGAATATGGAATGTTCGCTACAGAAGCCTGCAGGCCATAAAAGAAGCCAGCCCAAGCCATAGGCCATATTGGCTGTAATGGGCCAGCCCACAGGTGTGGCGACACCCAAGACCTTTGGAACTCATATTTCTCCACAGTGTGTGCAGGATTCCAGATGAGAAGCTATTGGATTCAGTGTTTGTCCTTCTGGGTTTCAATCTTCTCTTAGCTGGTCTGGTTCTTTTCTGTGTCCACTTCCTCCCTTTTGGAAAGGGAATGTTTACACTCTGCCATTTTACCTTAGATTATGTAACTAGGGTTTTATTTTTACAGAGGTTCACAGCTAAGAGTTTGGCATGAGCTCCAGAAGAGACTTGGATCTGGATTTTTGAAAAGTGCTAACTTATTGAGACTTTGGAGAAGGCATTGTTGTCTTTCTGCTTGCATGCAGAATAGGTATATTGTGGTAGGCAGAGCTGTGAACATGTTATTGTCTTTATTGGTAGCTCAAATATGAAGATGACTAGAGGTGGGATGTGGAAGGTAGGATGGAGTGAAAACAGGATTGGTTTTGATATCCGCCCAGGGGTTGGGGACCACACTTCTAGGTGTCTGGGTGCTACATGGAGTTTGGATTTGAGTCTATGTCTAGTTGCTCACCACTACTCTAGCATCTTCCCTGCACTATTTCCTGGCTAGGATAAATTAAGCATTTCTGTTCTGCCATGCCCTTCCACCACATTGCTTCCTTCAAGCCAGCTTACCATGGACTGAATCCACCAAAACTGTATGTGAAATTTAAAATTTCTTGCTTGAGATTGTAGGCGTTACTTATTGGGTCCAGTAATGGTAAATGTGATTAATATCTAGTATAACATGGAATTTTAAGAAAGAATACAGAAAAGGCAGTTGCTGAATATCATATTTGAAACCAATTTTCCTGGAATTTTAAGGCCATAAACATGTTTGCAGTTCTGGGTTTGGGGTGTAGCTCAGTGGTAGAGCTCTTGCCTGGCCAGCACAATGCAATTCACAGTACAAAATACTACTACTCTTACTATTAATAATAATTTCAGTTTAAGTAGTTCATATGAGGGAAAGGGATTTGGAGAAAACTCACTTTTATGTAAGAAGCATGCTTTGGAGTCAAGAAATGATGAAGTATGCATAAAGCCCCAGTGACAGTTTCAATGCAGGACTAGGATGATGTAAATAAATCCATAGGAAGTAAAAGCCGTAGGACTAAATGGTTGTCTATATGTGGGGGAAGTGACTTAAAAAAGGAGGCTACAATTCTCATGTTCGTAATCTGGATGACTGAGTTATGGAACTATCAGGAAATACAGAGAAGGAGAATGAAGGAGTGTTTAATATGATTGAATTTGATGTTGAGGTATCCATAGGAAATATAGTTAAAGTCTCAGTGAACACTGGCAGACTAAAAATAAATTTTGAGATTCATAAACTATATAATAATAAAAATCATGAAAAATGCTAAGTTGAACTCAGTAAGAAAAAAACAAGATTTAAAAACAGGAGAATGATAGGTAAAATTCTAGGAAATATCAGAGTTTGGAATATTAAAGTAAAAAAATAAGATCCATGGGAAATATATTACTATAAGAAAAAGAAAAAGCAGGGAAATAAAATTTAGGAACAAATCATCTTTTTAATAAATGATACTAGGAGAAGGTGATACCCATATGCAAAAGAAAAAACTGAATTTGGGTCCCTACCTTACAAGTATGCAAAATTTGACTCTAAATGGATCATGGCATGTTGTAAGCTAAGACGCATAAAACTGTTAGAAAAAACACAGGCAGAAATCTTCATGACATTGGGTAAGGAAAAGGCTTAGAATAGCAAGAGAATGGTAACAAAAATATTAGATATGTTGTGTTGCATGCAAATTAAAAGTATGCTGCAAGTTGCACCATGAAGAAAGTGAAGAGACACCTCATAAATTGAAAAGCATGTGCAATTATTGATCTCGCTTCTCCAGAAGGTCAACGTTGAATCTTACCATTGAATTTGATTTGGTTCTTGTCCATTTTGATTTGCAACCAGAATCGGGGAAAGAATTAAGTTTGTGGATCAAGGTACTGCTGTATATCAAAAAGGAAATTGTACTAAAATATCTATAGAGTTCTTAAAATTTTAAAAATAAAACTCAGGTCAACTATAATAGGCAAATAATTTAAATATGTATATCCCCCAATATATGCATAAATGGCCAATAGGCACATGAAATGATATTCTCCATAATTAACTAAGGCAATTTAAAACTACAATGAGATACTGCTTCATACAAACTAGTAATAAAAATCTAATAAAATACAGAAAACAGTTAAGTGTTCTCAAGGAGTTAGAGAAATTGACACCTTTTGGAAAAGAGATATGAAGTTGCATATGACTCACAAATATATATCCAAGATAATTAAAAGTTTACACAGAAGTATTTAAATGAATAGTAGTGTTAATCATTATAGCTAAAAGAAGAGAAAACCCCAATGCTTATCAATTAACAAATAAATCAACTATGATATATAATAACATATGATATATATGTAATGAAAAATTACTCAGCAGAAAGGAATGGAGTGCTGCTAGATATCATGATATAGGTGAACCACAGAAAAAAATTATAAAAAGAAACCATCACCTAAGACCACACATAGTATTAATCAATTTACATGATATTTTAAGAACTGCGTGAATTGAGTGACAGAAATTACAATACTGCTTTCCAAAAGTTGAGAGTAGTGATAAGGACTCTGAGGAGAGGTGAGTGAGTCCTAAAAAGTATAGGCTTTCCTTTGGGGCAATAACTTAGTCTCCAATTATATAATAGGGATGGTTTCTATAACCTTACAAATATATTCTAAAATGCTAAACTGTGCACTGTAAAATAGAGAGGCTTCTGGTACTATTTGAATGATGTCCCAAAAGGTTGTTTCACAAAAGTAGATTCTATGTCTCGCAGTCCTTTTACTTCATCAGTGATGCTGAATATGCTTTCTTTGTCAGGCTCAGCGTTCTCACGAAGGACACCGCTAAGCCCACTAGGGAGGGACTCCGCACAGAACAAGAGGCTTCAGGCAAGAGTATCTGCCATCTGCACTACCGTATTGTTTCAGTTCACATACCAGCTCTCTGAAGGCATAAAGTCAATTTTGGGTCTTCGTTTTCTCAGGACAGCGTGGACACAATGTCATGGCTGATGGCGACTCACAATCTTGCCAACTGTCGAAGAAGAAAGGGCCTCTGCTAAGAAGAGCATCTAACCTGGGATTCAGAGCAGCATTTCAATCTTCTAAATCTGCAGGGGTTTCCAAAATCTCACCTAAACTCGCCTCAGAAGATGTGCGCCCGATGGCCCAGGGTTCTTTAAAGTTAGAGAATTGCTTGTTCTGTTTGCAGAAAGTTGACAAAGGCCAACATATCTTGTGGCTCTTTGTAGGTGTCTAACGCAGAGACACGACAGAGCTCTGGGACGCAATGTAAACAAGGTTAACCCTGAAACTTCCCCTTTTTGGTTCCCAAACTAGTTTGATCGCTGTTTCACGTTGTCTGCTTAGTAAAAAGTGGTAAAATTCAGGCTGAGGGAAGTGTTTTGTCACAGAGGTGTAAACCGTTTCTTTCTTTCTCCTCAGAAAAGTCTGTGACTTGTTAAGGGCTGGAAATGAAATGTGAATGCCTGTTCTAGTATATAAATTACTGAGTGCCCTTGAGCAAGTTACTTGATCATTTTGAGTTGGTCAACGGAACTACAAAAGAGGAAAGTTCTAGACATGACTTCCACTTCCGGTTCCTATGATGACAGCATAAGAAATGCAAAGTGCTATAAACAGAGTTGTGTTCCACTTCTGATGGTTAGCTCATAACTGACGTACGCTCCTTGTTTCAGTTACCACATACCTCTATGTCTTGGTTGAGTGTGCATTTTAAACCATCAGCTTTAAAAGCAGAGTTGGGTGTGAGCGGAGCGCAGGGCCATTTTCCCTCGTAAAGTCTCAGCAGCTCACAGGTGAATTGATTTGGGCGCTCACTCTTACTGCTGTGGCTCTTAGTACCGCCCATGGGCGGATACAAAAGTTATTACTTCTGTGTCTGAGTCATTTGGAGTTTTTAAGAGAAAATCTCTTCTCTATGAATGTCTTTAAGTCCAATCACCTTACAAAATGAAACAAAACAGTGAATTAGAATGTTCTTTTCATTTCCAGCCTTTTAAGAATAAAGCATCGTAAGAAATGCATTTTACTACAAATGTCTTAAGGCGATGAGATTAAAGGGGACGCTGGATCTAAACTTTACTGCACATGATTCCGTTAAAAAAAATAAAATAAATGCAAGCGAAACCCAAGCCTCAGGCTAGCAATCTGTAGCCACCTGCTGACCTTCGTCCAGGGTCGTGGGTGCGAGTCTAGAGTTGCCCAAAGACAGCTTTGTCTGCAAAGCCGAGCCAGAGACCTAGGTGAGCTAGGTGAGACGCAGTTTACTGAGGACTTGGGGGAACCGGTTCTTTTTATGGAAGGGCCAGCTCCGGGCCGGGCCTCCTCGCCTCTGCGGCGATGACGGGATTAATTTCTGTGTTCTAGCGGGGCGCTTGCAAGCGGTGTGTGAGGACGTGCTCTCACGTCAGCCCCGCGGCCGCTGCGCCCAGCGCACTCGGGCGTGTGCAAGCGCAGCGAGCCGCGAGTCGGGCGGGCGCCCTGCGGAGGCGCCAGCCCGTCCCCTCCCCGTCCCCGTCCCCGGAGCCGCTCCTGCGGAACGCTCCCTCTCGGCGCAGTGGGGCTGCCGCAGCCTCCCTAGTTCTCTCGGCGGCGCCCCCACCCCACCCCACCCCGAGCCCGCGGGACGCCCGAGCTCGCTGCCTCCCCCCGGCCGCGGCTCCCGAGAGCGGCGCACCTGCCCGCCCGCCCGCGCTGACATCACCGCCCCGCCCGACCGCCGGTCCCCGCGCAGAGGCTGCTCGCCGGCGCGGACGGAGCGGGCACCCGGCGCCAGCATGAGGCTGAGCCCCGCACACTACCTGCTGCCGCTGCTGCCGCTGCTGCCCGCGCTGGTGCTCGGCGCCAGGTGAGTCCCGGGGCGGGCAGGGCCTGCGGTCCGGGACCCGGCGGGGCGGAGCTGACGGCGGAGTCAGCCTCGCCCCGGGAAGGGCCGGGCGCGCTCCGCGGAGCGAGCGGAGGACGGGGCCGCAGCCCCGGGAGGGGCGAGCTGAACGCGCGCTGCCCGAGGACCGAGCCGCCTCCCTGCCCAGAGCCCGACTCTAAGCACGGGAACCGGAGGCGACGGAAGACGGTGCCAGAAGGGGCCAAAGACGCGCAAAAGTTCGGGCTCGGGCTCGGGCTGGTCTGCCGTCCGCAGCAGGCTCAGGGCAGGGCACTGCATCGGGCTGGGCTGTGAGTGGGTCGGAGGGAGAGGACAGAAGGAAGTCCGAAGACACGCATCCAGGAGCCCGGCTCCCGAACGGTCGGGCACTGTGCTCTGGCCCTGGCCAGAGGCGGCTTGAGGCGCCTCACAGAGGGGCTCTTCTTAGGGCAGAGTTAAAATGCTCTGATTAACGAGAGCTCTGGGACCCGAGTGGGCCATGGGTTTGCTTTCCTCTCCCACAAGAGTGGACTGTCTTGTTGCCCAGGCAGTCTTTACTCGGCGCGACCTTAGTTAGCATCATATTGGCAGCAACTTCTTTCCCTTGGCTGCTGGAAAATAAAATAACCCACACAGGATGGAGATTCTTTCAAATCTAAATGAATAGAAACACTGTCTGGTTGTGCGTCTGAAGGAAACAGAGAGGCGAGAGATAGAATTATGTGTGATCCCGAAATGGAGAAAGATACTTTTTATCTCTTAAGAACCTAGATGATAAAATTCTTCAGTCCATTTCTCATGTCCACACCTTCTTTCAGGCCTGTCTAACCAGACTTTCCTTTTTGCTTAGGAACAGTTTTATTTAGCCCTTATAATGGATTTAGTCTTCTTTTGTCCATGTGGCACAGCTAACTTTTCCAGGCTAAATAGAATTTGAGTTTTATGCACTCTAAGGTTTGCTTGCTACTTCAGGTCATAAATGCACATGGTTTTGAAGAAAGCCAGTGCTTTGCGTTATTATCATAACTTGTTCCTAGTAGAGCCCACTTAAAAATATGCAGTTAGCTCTAAGCTGACCAATACAAATTATGCCTCATGGTTATTCTTGGTATTCTTGCCGTTCGCTCTCATGCTGTGGTTTGATGTTTACTTGTGGAATCTTCCAGAGAAAGGAAATTTTCAAAGTTTATACACTTAAAAAGATAGCAGTCAGCATGTCCATAGAATAGTAAATATTTGAGCAGTGGAAACACACACCAAAGCGATTTTAGAGAGAGTGCAAGTTTTTGAAGTTCCAAAAGTATAGTTACTTTTGAAAGATGCTAGGATTTAAGTGACTGAAAGACTTGCACACTCTCAGCCTTCCAAAGTTTCCTCAGTTATGTAAGACAGAGGTCGCCTTTTCCCTCTTTTTGAAAGTGTTAATTTCTGTGAGGATAAATTTACTTAATAAAAGTCAACATATTTCCTACAGAAATTAAAATAGTGATTCCTACTTCTCTTTAGATCTGACACTTCCTCAGTGTTGGTTATTTAAGCAAACTATGATGGATCTTTAAGTTCATAATGAAAAAGCATGCTGGGCTTAAAAAATGACATTTTCACAAACAGTACCATAGATGATTGCTCTGATTTCTCCTGGACTTTATTATGCTAGATATTCAGATTACCTTGTGACTGAACAGGCGGGAAATGAGCGTGGCACTATCAATGTATCGCTTTACAGGAAGAGAATGTGTTTCCAAGGAAGTTAGCAGAAGGCCCTTCTCTGCGAGGTTTAAGGGTTTGCACGGGTGCGGGAGTAATGCACAGGTTAAAAGGCAAGCTGAATAGCTTTTGGCAGCAGTTGCCTGAGGAGGAGTGCGCTTATTGTCCTGCTGGGAAAGAGGCCTAGCTCTGCCACAGCCACCTGTGACTGGGGTTTTCTGGCCAAAGACTTCTGTTCACTTAGTTTCTCAGCCAGGGTTCCAATCTGTGAAGCAGATGGCAATTCCCATGGTTCAGCAACACCGAGGGTGTCAGTGGAGGTTGGGTGATGCTAGTTTTTCCCATACCCTTTGGGGAATGGCAAGGCTTCTACTATCACTTTCTGCCTAACGTGTTGAGAAAGTGGAGCAGAGACTCTGGGTGCAAAAGCACATTGGCTTCATCATCTCTCTCTGAGTATAACTCCCTGCGGCTTTGCTGTGTTGTTCCCAATAGGGCTACCGTTCATTTTTCTTTTAAAGTAAAGCTAGGAGTTCACTAAAGCCAGTGCTGCAGTTGGAGAGATCCCATTCCCATTCTAGCTGCAAGGATAAAAGTTGAAGGCAGTTCTCCCTTTTAAATAGTAATATTTGAATTGCTTTCTGTGTCTTCCTCCTCCTTTCCTATTCCATAGCAACTTTAGACACAGAAATACAAAGAAACCCCATAATTTCATTAGAGTGAACAAAGCCAGTGCCCACCCAGTAAAGTTACTTTATCCCTCACTCCTAAAAGCTAAATGTTCACCTTCAACAACAGCCATTTTTTCTGGTTTCTTTTTTTTTTTCCTGGTAAACACGATAGAAGCATGGAGAGCTGTTTAATTTCCTGGCATATTGTGTCTCTTGTTTAGAAAGTACATACAAATTCAAGAAGTTTAAGTTAATGATATGAATAATGTAGCTAATACAGAGACCCATTTAAACTCTTCACAAATAAACGTGGTCAAAGAAAGCAAACAAATGTGTTGGTTTAATAGCTTCAGAGTAGAATGCATGTACTTTTTAAATAGCTTCATTTTGTAGAAGTATTAAATTGCTATTCCAAAGCAGCCAGTAATTCACTTCAGAAAGGAGTAGTGTAGGTACTGAAAGGAAAGGTAGGGTGGAAAATTCTTTAGAAGTTCTCGGTAGAAAGGACGTCGTGGAGGGCTGAAGGAGGCTTACGCTTTAGTCTGCTAAACCTCTGTCCCTTTGTGCTGTGGTGATCCTCTTGATGCCTTTGGATTGTTAGGTTTTAAATGCCTCACTGGGGAGAGAGACATGGCAGGGAGGAACGCACGTCTACTGACTTCTTGCTTCTCCATCAAACAAGAGCTTTGAGCAGATAGTGTGCGATAGTCCTCCCAACAGGGCTGCTCGGAGGTCTCCCCTGGGTAGTGCCGCATGTTTACTTTCCATCTATTTTTAGGTGATGCTGTGTATGAGGGACCTTCAGGCTTCTATTTGTTGGGTTCTTTACTGTAACCTCAGGATTGAGTTCAGGAAAAGATGAGCACAGCAGGCACGTGATAAATCTTATTTTTTGCTTTTTGAGACAAAGTTTCTCTGTGTACCTGGAAGACCTCAAACTCACTGCCTTCCTACCTTAGCCTCCTAAGTAGCTGGGATTAGAGCTATATGGTGCCATGCCCAGATTCACACACAAAATATGGTAATGGAAATAAATTTGATGTCGGGAACAGTTTTGCTTGAATCCCCTTGAAGTAGCCTAGTAAAGCCACGTAAGTCTACTGCACATGTGACCCTGCCTAGATTCTTTTATTCGTGGAAAAATCATACCATTCTGTGTGAATATTTAGAGAAATAACTTTCCCAAGAAGATAAAAAATAATACTGCAACAATTGAAGTTTCAATTCTAGACCTAACTTGCCTATTTCCAATAGTACTGGTAGTTGTTACAATGACTTACTTGGGCATTATCTTTGGAGATTAAATTTCCTCTACATCTAATGATAGGATGACCTCAAACATTTATGTTTGGGTGTACAGTGTCCTGAACCAAATTCCATGTGATTGAAAGGAATAGCTTGACTTTCCAACCAGGGAACAAAAATTGCTGAAATCCCTGAGGAGTGCATGCAGAGATATCTTCTCACGTGTACTGAGACACTGTGTGTACCTACTTTTAAAGGACTTCAAGACAATTTTTCACAATTACTTCAATACACAAGGCTAATACACAGGGCTAAATCATTTATATAACTTTAACCTAATTAAATAAGCATTGCTTACAATTATGTTTTTTCACTAAGGAATTCAAAACTCCATGTGAATCCAACTTCATCCCTTTAGAGATGTCAGTGATATTTGTTATCACACAATGATTGTATGAGAAATCAGTCAGTTATTACTGAGGCATGAGGATGATAAACAATATAGATTATGTACAAACACATTGCTCCAGAACTAGACATATAAACAAGTGATATATTAGTCAAAATTTGGTAGCAACAAAGTTCTGAGTGTGAAGAAGGGAAAAATTGGATAATGCCAATTAAGTTCAATAAATTTTATCTTCTACTTTCTAAGAGATGAATGACACACTGCAGTCAGTATGAATGTTATGTTGCAATTCTTAGCTGTATGAGGTAAGGGAAATTTTTTGTCTTCTTGATTCAGGCTTCCCATAGACAAAACAATATGATGTACAGAACCCACTTCATAAGGTTGTAGTAAAGACTGAATGAGTTAATTTATGAAAAAGTATAGCATATTCTGTGGAATACAAGAAATACTCAACAGGGGTTACCTGCACCCCTATTACTGTGTTGTTATCATTTTTATGAAATCTTTGATTCTGTGATTGATCTGGACATAGAGAGGAAATTGAATGGAAATTGATAGAATGAGGCCAAATAAACGAAAGCATAGCTATCATTTAAAAAGAGGGGGAAGACAGAAGAGGGAGCAGGAGGTGTAATGAAGGTCACTGGGTCCGTTGGCCGGGTCTTCTCCATAGCACTTTGGTGGCATAGCTCCTGCACGGTGCCTTTTTTTTTTGTGAAGGTCATGAAAAGTAGAGATATTTAATTTAATCACATAGACTGTGATTTAGCACAAAAGTGTATATTTAGCTACTTGTGTTCCTATTTAAAATGCAATTGCATTTACACTGTAGAAATCATATCAAATCAAAGCCAGCAGGATGAGCACAGGTCTTAGTGAATACATAAGAAGGTTGTTTTCTCACTACACAGAGAATCGACTTATAAGTTTCTCCAAATTTATTTTCTATTTGTTTATTGGTTTCATCATCTATTATTGATCCCTAAATATAAACATCTTCTGAAAAATTAAGGGAAGAAGATACAAGCATGAGACCTTTTTCTA